TGTATTTTTTGTATGTCATCGAGAGTATTTAAATGATTTTCAATCAGAAAAAAAAATTGGCAATTAAAATGCGATTAATTGCGAGTTAACTCAGGCATTGATGCGATTAATCGCGATTAAAAAAATTTAATCGATTGACAGCACTAATATATATATATGATGTGTTAATTTTTTTATGTAGAGGTAATTCTTAAAAGTATGTTTAAGTACCTCTCTTTACATTACTCAATTAATAAAAACTGAGAGATTAATTGTTTACTGAAATAACTAATAGCTGAAGCCCTGATAGATAATTTTCTAGTTAGAACCATTAGATTTCAGTTCTTATCTATCTAACCCAAACGTCCCCCTTCAGGGTAACAGGAACTGGTTACGACTCTCAGGATCCACCAAGCTGCTGGAACGCCTGTATCTCTGTCCACTAAAAGCAGTTTAATATCGACATGGACTGATGTCCTCAGGAGTCCTCCTGGAGAAACTTTTTATTCAGATGAGGCTAAGATTGTTTTGACTGGCCACAATAACAAGAATTATGTTTGTAGAAGTCGGAGTGAGTTTTTAAACCTAAAAACACAGAATCAGCTATCAAGCACGGTGGTGGTAGCTTCATCCTGAGGTACAGCCTCGCTGCCAGCTGTGCTGTGGATGGAATACTGAACCAGAAGGAGTACATCCAAATGACTCAACATGCATTAACTCTAAAGCTGGCAATATATGACCCCAAAGATCATGTTAAAACGGGCGGATTGTGTTTAAAAGCCACAGTAGCACCAATCAAAAAACTAGTTTAAAGGTATAGTGGAGTATTTTTGCAGATTTTTGAAAAGAAAATGCACACGCACAACCCTGTACCCGCTCCTGAGGGGGAACACCTATTGAACATGTGCGAGAGCATGCATGAGCCCATTTCTCCTTGTGCACACTCTGTTTAAAAGTTGCTGTTCTCATAGCCCATACAAGCTTACTGTGTCTGAACTGCCACCCTAAATGCCTCAATCACTATATAGAGCGGGGACTATATAGTGGACTTTGTAGTGAACTCAGTTAACTGACCGTTCGAACAGATGATCACTGCTCTTTGCTCCTTGTTGGTCGCATCACCCCTCCTCCACCATGCGGTGCCTGCGGCATCTTTGTTATTAGTCGCCACTCTCGGCCTATGGAGACAGTGGGCCGCTGTGACAGCAAATCCCATAATGCTTTGCAAGGAGCACTCCGCGCAAAGCACTCTGGGATTTATATGCCTCTTCTGAGGCCTTTCTTTACTTCTCATACACTTCTTAGACAATGACTGCCTAAAACCGTAGCTCCCCAACAGATATACGCCTGATGGCTAACGGGACAAACACGTAGGACGGCCGTTCGTAAACATATCACCAGAATGATTGACAATTAGGATCGCTTATTTAGATGATCCATCTGGAGATAAAGGATTTTTTTTTCTTTAAAAATGTGTGTTGGAGGTGTTTCTTCTCAACTGTCATTAAATATGATGGAATGTGTACATTAGTATTTGGTTCTGTATATTTGTGACCCTGTGTAGATCTGAAAAAATCTGGAATAAATTTAAATACAGTTAAAATCCCAGGAGAAATTCCATGTTGTAATTGTTAGAAAACTTTAGAAAAAAAAACTTTAATCAATCTAAAATGAATCTGACATAAGTGCTGAAGATGAGCGGGCAGAGATGTATGACTATGTCTGGGTGTCAGAGCTGCGTATAATCAGGTAGGAAAAAGTTACTTACTGCCAGGAACTGTTTTGTGTGATGTTCCACAGACCTGCTTCAAGCCAGTGGAGACTCTGCAGGAACTGGAGAGTTTGACTTCAGAGCTTCTCCTCCCTCTCATGTGTCACAGTTCTGTGCAAGGCCTGATGAAGAATATCCGGTATATTTCATTCACTGAAAAGCAGAACCCTTGTTGGAGCATAGCAAGCATGAAAATTATTAATTATAAATTAACTTTTTCATCAAGGAAATTGTTCATCAATATGAAAATGTCTAACAGAGGAAAAACTTTTCTGTGTTTTACTTCAGGTCCTCCTCAGTTGTGTGTAATGATCAGTTAAGTCTTCTGCATCCAGAGATTACGCCAAACCTTCCTGGTTTAGCCTGTTCAGGGTGGAGGGATCGCCCAGGACTGGTTGTTCCCAGCTCCCCATTTCCTCTCCTAGCAGGACTGGGACTCCTCTGTAATACCATCACAGATATCCATAAAGGTCTCAGTAGAAAGGTAGATCAGTAATATAATCTTAGTGGGAATCTAGTTAATGTTTTTCTACATTCTGGGTAAAGCAAACCCCAGATTTAATAACAATTTCCGCTCTGATCTATTTCAGTTCGCAGGCCTCCTGCTATCAGACTCTGTGATTGGTTACCTGCAGAGCTGCAGCCACGCCACACCCACACTGTCCCACCGCACATCTTGGCTCCTCCAGCATGAACACCATGTTCTCTACCTGCTGCTCCGGCTGGCACACAGGCTGGTGAGTCAGAAATAAATTAAATCCAGGCTCAGCTGTAGAGTTCCAACATGAACATTTACAACATCTGGAAGTGCTTTGGTTGTTTCACACATCTGTAGAACAAACAGTTTGCACATTGGATTCATACATTTTAATAGGTTTTTCCTTTTTCATATTTTTCAGGTTCCAATTGAGCTTGAAGTAGCCAAACATGCCTCACTTTACCACCAGGTGGCGCTGGTGCTTCTCCCCTGGTTACTGCCGGGTAGCGAGTACCTGGCACATGAGCTGCTCTCCACTGTTATCTTCAGCAAGGACTTTATATCGTAAGTAAAACCTTTAATTATCTTTGTTTAATCACTAGATATGTCAAGATTGACATTTTTTTTAAACATAAAAAGCCTCAAATTATGAAAAAAAATGTTGGTTTCTTTGGTTTCTCCCAAAGCACATTTTAAACAAATAATACATAAATAATACATTCTTAAAAGATCTAGAGTTTAATTTTTTACAACTTTTCTATTTTAAATTGGTTTAGACTTGTAGCTAGTGATAGTTATATTTATCATCAATGATGAGGTTGATGATAATGATGATAGTGTGATCTGGAAGTCAGAAGAGTCTAATGCTCTAATAATAATAATAATGCTCTCTGTGGTGGTCTGCCTGTTATTTACTACAGTGGGCAAAAACGGCATTTCTATCATGTTTTATTGGTATTTTGTGCTTTTATTTTCAAATATTCTCAAAGTAAAAGTGTTTCCAGCATTGGTTTTAATGTCTGTTCCCTCTTCACATTTCCCACATAGAGACCTTAGATAAAGTGTTTCCTTTTCTTCTTTGGCAATGAGCATACACACAAAAAACGTTCAGCATACCATTTGAAACATCCTTTTCGACAGAAAAACAATCCCTTTTGATTTGTGTTTGTTTTACCTTCAGGCCTTTTTGGGTTATTTGGGGCTCTTAAGGACTTAGAAATTGACCTTTAAAACTATTCATGAAAACTAGAGGGAGCCAGTGGAGTTATTTAGTGTGGGATTGATGTCCTCGCTCCTTTCTCTGCTGGTTAACATTCTGGCTGCACTCGTCTGAACTTGTTGCAGGTTTATGATGGATTGCTCTGGAAGGCCAACAAGTAGAGATTTACAGTAATCAAATTCAGATCAAACTAAAACTTTTCCAAAGTCAGTTTCACTAAGGGAGCTTCAAACCCATTTGGTCAGGAAACCAATCCAACGTTTGTTTGCAGCTATAAAGTGTTATAAACTTGAAGATGGTCAGCTTGATGGGTTATATTTTATTTAGTTTGAAAAACAAAAGATGGGTTATGATTAATGTTGGTTTTTTATTTTATTTTTTTCGCTTTAAAATAGTTGAATTTTGTGGACGTTCAGTACCTTCAAATTAGCAGCTTCATCCTGCCACTATAAGGCTACTGTCAGCCTTTAAAACAGTTTGAAATGGCAGGCTAGACCCTTATCTGCTCTTAAAGACAGCTGAGATTTAATGTATGCCATTTAGGGTGTTTCAGAGTATTTTTTTTAAGTTTTTAAAATCAGTTTTAAAATATAGTTGGAAGCAGTGGAGGGATTTGAGAGTGGGAGTATGTTCCCGCTCATTCCCGGCAGGACTTTTCTGAATTTGTTGCAGGTTTATGATGGATTACTCTGAAAGACCAGTAAGTTGGGATTTACATTAACGAAGTGCAGATGGAAGTATATCACATTCAGTGTCAGTTTTACTTAGCATGGTCCAAACCTTTGTCTTATAGTGAATGTAACATTATGCAAACTTACATTATCGATGCAGCAGTTAGAACCTGAGATCACCATAAAAAATGACCTCAGTGTTTTTTGGAGTCTCTCATCCTTTTGGGGAAAAGACTGCTTCAAAAACACAATATGTCAGTTTAACCTTCAAGTGGAAAATCAACCCGACACTTCCACACATTTTGGATCACCTATGCTGTAAAGGAAACACGCATAAAGATGGACATATAACAGCACATCATCTGCATATTGGTTAAGCTAATGTGTTTTGTTTAAGCTTAGATTAGCCAGCTTCCATCGTGTAGCACTTTAAAAAAACAGGCTGCACCAAGTGCAGCACAACAAGAACATCATAGTTGATTGGTGTAATTAAAAGAAAAAAAAACAGAGATAGAAAAAATAAGGCCTAAGTTTCTGTCCTGCGCATTTCAGCCAAACCTGGTTACCCTAGAAACAGTCAAAAATACTCTGAAATTAGGCCAATACGCTGATTTTTAATGAGTGTAACAGCTGCAGAAAAGGTGTTTTCAAACATATGAGTGAGGAAAGCGCTGTGAAAATCTAAACTCCCTCGCCCTTCTGCTATTGACACACACAAAGTGCTTGCAGGCAATCGCTTTTGGAAGCTTTGGAAGCAGGGGTGAAGGACCAGGTTCGGAAAGATTTGCAAAAGGCCAGTTTGCAAGCAGAACTGACTGATGGTCAGAGGGTTCTCTTTGTTTTCTTTTCAATCAATAAAACGCAGCCTTGCTGCGCCGATGCGTAGCTGCTCATAGAAAAATCCTGGCGAGAACCCTGGATTTCAGAACATCTTAGAGTGACTGGCTGACCTTACCACGGAGCGTGACCTTTAAAATGGTTTGGTTTAGATAGGTTTAAACCGCTTCTTAATTAAAAAGACGCCAAACACCATTCCTTCAGTTTTTTTATTTTTGTCTATAATTTTACAAATGGATAAGAACAAAATAAAACCACTTGGCCAATCAATGCTTGATGATAAGTGATGATTAGTGTTGGTTTCAACAACCTAAATGTAATAAAGCTAAATAAAAAAAAAATAAAAAATGGAAAAGTAAGAATATTTATATAGACAATGCAATAAACTTGATTCTTTTTGCTGGTAACAACAGTCGGCGTATTGACCAATGAAACTGAAGATGGTGTAAAGTTTTTGGCGGAGCAGTTTCCTTGCATGTTGAAAGAGGTTGAATCCGAGCCTTGGTTCTTTTTGCTCTTCTTTTTTTCTTCCCATATTCTCCAAATGATTATGTGGTTTCTCTCTTGGTACTCTGGCTTCCTGCCACAGCCCAAAACATCTCTGGTTACTCTAAATTGTCCTAATGTAAGTGTGGTTGTGATTCTGTCTTGTGTGTCTCATTGTTGGTGTGTGATGGGTGTACCCTGCTTCTCATCCACCAACCTACTACAGTGGTTGATGGGTGAGCAGCAAAAACAAGCACCTGGATGCCTAAAATATTTTTGTATTTCATTTAATGCTTAATCCATGCCAAGCCATTTGTATTTATAAAGACTTTAAAAACAGCACATCTGACCACATTGCTGAACAAAAAATGTACAGCATACATGATAAACCAACCGACAACTAGAGTAAAATACAATTTATTATAAGCTGTTTGCAAAAATTGAATAAGATGAGCTTAAACATAGACAGTGTAAGGGCCTGTGTGATATTTAATGGCTGCAGGCTCTGGAGCTCAGTCCCCTCTGAGCTTCTGCTGCTTCCGGCACATCCAGCTAAAGCTGGTCTGCTGACCTATAAGTGAAAGGGAGGAGCAATGCACTTGTAGAAGCTTGGAGAGATACGGAGGGCTCAGACAATTTAAAGATTTCAAAAACAAAAGGAAATAATCTTAAACTGGCAGCCAGTGAGGCCAAAGCAGGAGTTTGTGCTGTCTCTCTTTCGTGTACCAGTTAAAGGCTGCCAGCTGCTTTCTGCACCAGCTGGAGACCAGAACTGAACCTATAATCACTAAGGAGCAGGGAAGCAGTCTGTTTTTCACAAAAACCCACCCTGACTTTAACTTTATTAAATAATTGCTTGAAAAATGGGATGCATCCGAATAGAAAAGCAGTTTGTAAAGTTATTGCTTCCAATATCCGGTGTGCGCTATGAGAATCAAAACAAGATACATTTCACATAATTATTTAAAAGCTACTTACGTGAAAATTGGAAATAATAGCTAACCAACTGTCCATTTCAGTTGCCAGCAGTATTAATAAGCAGTGTTGTATAGTAACGAAGTAAAAATACTTTACTACTGTATTTTGGAGTACTTTATACTTTCCAAGAGTATACATTTTTTTGAGAACTTTCACTTTTACTTCACTACATTTACGAACTTAATTGTATACTTTTACTCCGATACATTTTCAATGTTTGGATTAGTTACTAAGTAAAAAAAAAAAAAAAAAAAAAACGAGCGAGAGAAACAGTGTTTTGACCCTACCTTTTGACTACAAAGTCGGATCTTGCCTGGGCTTGTTCATCAACACCAATAGGATACGCTTGTTTCGCAAAGCCAGTCTAAATTTATCCTACACTTGGTTGTTTATATTATTTTAAGTGAATTTAACCTTCAAAGTTTACCAAAATGTAAAAAAAAATGTCATTCAAACTGAACTACTTTTTACTTATACTTTTCACTACATTACTTGAGTACATCTATTTTTACAGTAATTCTTATACTTAAGTACAAGCCATTTCAGATACTTTAACCCTTTAAAGCCTGATCCAAGAATAAAACAAAACAGAAAATTACTATTTTTTTTTAGGTTTGAAGTCCTTATTTGGCCTTTTAACAAAATATGTAAAGAGAAAAAACAGAAATAAATTTTTGATATTAATAATTTATTACTATGCGATAAGTCAAAATTATTTTTTGTGTAGTCTTCTACCCTCTGTTATCAGGTGTATCTGATTGTGTACAATAGGATTTTGAGCAAAGTTTTTTCCATTAAATTATGCAAAAGGTGTCAGACGCAAAACATTTCAGAAACCGTATGTATCAAATACGACACATTTGGCATTACAGGGTTAAGACTTTTACTCAAGTAACATTTCAGTCAGTGACTTGGACTTTTACCAAAGTCATATTTTGGAGAGGAACTTATACTTTTACTTGACTCCGACATTTCAGTACTTTATACAACACTATTAATAAGAGACATCACCCTCTGCTGTGATATGGTGCAATTCAGATTTTAAACAAATGACGACTCGATGCGATTCAGCGTAAGAAGGCAACGCACAGAAATGATGGTGCTATTCGTCTGGGTATGCTAAGTTAAAGGAATCAGAACCAAATTCAGTCTCTGTTTGTGCACACTAATTTAATAAACCTTCATAAAGCAACAGCCTTTCACTGACGGCTTCTGTTTACCAATTCTTGAACACTTTTATAAAGCTTGACCTACAATGAACTTAAACAGTCTTGGTACAAAATGATTGCAGACGTCAGGCTGCAGAGATAATTAACACTCATTCGTTAACTTCACAGCGAGCAGCAGAATACATTTTTATGTAATCAACATAGAAGTAGCTTTTATTTCTTGCTTTATATTTTTTAAATGGTCATGCTATTTAAATAATAGTTGCTTGAAATGACAGCGAGGTTGCAGGCATTGAAAGCCCCGTTCTCAGAAACCCTACAAGACTGGATTTCTTTAAAATAAAGATGATGGTATCTGGAGCCCTGTTTACATGAGAATGATACAAGTTCCATCACCACTGGTTTATAATGGTCTAATATCAGACCTATTACTGTTTGTGACACATGCAGTCCTCAGCAGCGCTGGTGGTTTGCATCATCTTTGGGATTCTCTAGCAAACTTGGAAAAATCATTTAACATTCATTCAGGTTCGATGAGGCTGTTTTTGTAGGTGTGTTTACAGTCTCATCATGGTCTCATGACAATATAAGTAAACGGGATTAATTGTTATGTATGAGGGATCAAATAAAAAGCAGCTCTTCACCTCAGCTCAGATGTTTAATCAGTTTTTTTTTCTCCTATTTAAATCAGATGTGGAAAAAATGAACCAGCTTATTATTGTGAGTTAAAGCAGCAGAGAAGGAACCGGAGGTCGGAGGCCAAATTAAATCGTCACTGCGGCTCCTGTGAGGCAGTTAAAGTGACCGCAGCAGTTCAGGCTTTTGTTGGTTGATCAAGTAGTAGAGATTTTCTTTGGGGACGTCATTTAGCAGAACTATTTCTCTGGATCTCTTCCATATCGAAAAAAAGAAAGGAACCGCTCCTTGGAGGTTAAATGAAGGGTATAACAAAAAATGGCTGTGATTGGATCGAAGTGGTCCGACTTTTTTTATAAAATATTCTTTAGATGGAATCATTTAAACAGACTCTGTTGCCTTATGGTAATGCCTTAATCATATATGTATGAGCTTATCTTTGGTCTTTTTGTTTGCTTTGCAGAGAGGGACACAGTGGTGGACCAGAGGCTGTGGAACTCGGGGAGCTGAGGCTCCACACCCAGCCATCTCCATCTCTCCAGACTGTTGGGGCTCTTCTTAGAGAAGCCTGCAGCCAGCTGCCCTCCATACGCGGCTGCTACCTCACTCACCTGGCCCACCTGGAACAGTCCGTGCTCACGTCCCGAAACGTTTATCTTGGGCGCAACCCGTGGATCAGCTCGCATCTCCTTCCAGAGCTCACCGGGCCTACGCTCCCCTCCGACTGGCCTTACATCCCACTGATCAGCCTTTATGAGCGGACCGGCGTGTCTGAAGGTGGAGGGTTGGCAGTGGAGGAGCTTCCTCATGGATCTCTGCAGGCAGTGACCCACTGTCTGCAATGGTTGCTGCTGCTGGAGGTCTGGAGGGAAGAAGCTCTGAAGGTACAAGTCAAGTTAATAAGACCTTTATATCGATCTTTACTTAAACTGAAGCAAATGGAGGATCTTTGAGATGATCGGTGGGTGGATGAATTTTATTGTCCATTCTTTTTTCCAGACCTGAGAGCTGAGTGAGATGTGAAAGAACATTGAGATGATAGAAGAAAACGGATTATAGAGAAAAGAAATTGATTAATAATATAACTGATAATTAGATTATACCACTCAGCTTAGTCTTTCTAATAATAAATTGTTATGCCAGAGCAAATTCTCCATCATCCAGGTCATGCCAACGACTAAACGCTCTTAAATCGGAGGAAAACATTCTTATGCTCATTTTTTTTCTAAAAACTGTTTGTCACCTATCCAGGAGTCTGTTATTAATTTTTTATCAGCGTTATATTAAAATGGAAAAATAGCCAACACAGTATTTCGAGGATTCCCAAAAGGAGTGAGCAGAAGTGAAAGCTTAATTGTGTCTACCTCCTTTCATATAAAAAAATAGATAACATGCATTACAGACACACAGTACTCAATCAACAGTCCTTCCAAACATTCATGTTAGGGGTGTTGAAATTTAATTGAATTAAGTGAAAAAATAAACGCATGAATTTATTAGAAAACCAATTTTTTTTAAGCACATCATCCTTTTTGGTGCTGATTTATGGCTATTGCTCGAGATCCACACCAATTCTTCCACAGTTTCACTCTACAAACTTTTTAATATTGTACGTGGCCACTTAATGTTTCAAGTAACCCCACCCCCCACCCCACCTTAAGTTATAGCCCCAGACTTTTTTTCTGAATACTTCCAGGAAGTAAATAGTTTATTGCTTTATACATGATTGAGAAAATTAACAAAATCTGTGCATTTTGATGTTTTTGATTTTAAATGGGATGAATTTGTATGATCTCTGTAACCAGAACTATGATTCTTTTTCTTATGGCTCATTTCTCTAGTATGAATAGCAGGTTTTACTGTACATTTTATTTAATCCCAATGGCCAATATCCTAATCTTAATATTTGTAAGTATTACCCAAGTTCTATACTGTAATTTATATATGGCTGAATCAGAGAACAGTTGAGTGATTTGCTTTGGTGAAAATGGATACACTCTAATAATTTGCTATGTATATTTAGACTTCCAGATTATTTTACTAGCAATTATTACCCCAAGACATTTGTTTTCATAAACTCTTTCAGCATCCACTCTGTTAAGCTAGAGCAGTCTGTGTTTGGAGCGCTGATGTTTTTAAGCAATAAAGTGGTAGTCATCACTATGATTAGTAGCTACCTGATCCGTTTATAGAATCGTGTAGATAACATTTCACTGATGGGTCCTTTCTGACCCTCAGGTCGTCCCTCCTGTCGCCAAACTTGCCCGCCTGTCCTGCGTCTTCCTCAGTTCGAGCGATCTGTTCCTGGAGAGACCTGTTCAGAGGCTGACCTGGGGACTGTTCAGGCTGCTCACCAGGTGAAAGCATGGAAAAGTTCCACATGAAGCTGAAGTATTACAGGAGAGGTCTTAACAAAGGTTTCTTTTTTCTTTTTTTTGTTTGTAGGGAGTCCAGATTGGACTCTTTGGACCTGGATGTGCCTCCTCCAGGTCTTGCCTCCTTCCAGGACCTGTACACAGCCCTTTTGTCACAGTATGAAGCTGTATCTTTTGGAGACAGGCTGTTTGGCTGTTGGGTTCTCCTCCCTCTGCAGAGGAGGTACAGCGTCTCCTTGAGGCTGGCTGTTTTTGGAGAACATGTGGGGATGCTTAGATCCCTGGGTGTTACTATGGAGCAGGTAAGATCACCAGCTGCTTTTTAAATATAAGCCTTTTTATAATAATGATAATAATACATTTTGATTAAGCCAGGTTATTGTTTTCTCTCTCTTTATCTGAAGTTGTCCGTCCCCATCGAGCGGTTCACCTCACCACCGGAAGACTCCCTTCCTCTTCTTCACCTGTACTTTCGCTGTTTAGTGACGGGGACCCTCAGGTTGTCATGGTGTCCCGTCCTTTATGTGGTCGCCTTGTCTCACATCAACTCCTTCATCTTCTCTCAGGATGCTGCAGTGCAGGTACAGCTCAGCTTAGTCTTTGCATAAAGAAAAATGGGACTAAAAGCTTTATTTTCCTTTTTAAGGAAAATAAAGTTTGATGTTTCAATGATGCTGCCAAATGATGAAGGTTTTAATTGGGTTATTTTTATAAGAGACATAAAATTGTGTGACGAGGAGTGAACTGTGTAATTATTTCCCATCCAGTGGGTGCTGTTGCTGCGGTAAATGAGAGACGGAATCAGACCTCCGGGAGTTTATATGATGTCAACAAATTAAAAACTCACCAATACAACATTTAGACGACTTTATGACTTTTAACATCCTTTCTCATGTTGCTGATGGTGACTTCATCATATCCTGACATTCAGGCATTATCACTGATCTGGTTTACTGGATCGCTCCTTCATTTGATTAAAAGTTTCCATTAGTTTGCAGCTTGTTAGCTGCTGCTTTCTCATCATATAACAATCAAATAAATCATGGATCAAAATAATTCCCAAACAAACAAAAAAACTCCTTTAATACTTGATTTAAAAAGATCAAAAATGTTGTTTTATGTCTTTGATTATGCAATGCTAAGTGGTAAATTGCCTACTGACTGTAAACAGTGGACATTTAAAAAATATTAAACATTTTCTTCTAATCTGGAAGGTTATTTGAATGCACTTGATTTTTTTTAAATGAAAAGTATGACGTTGATGTCCACATTTCTTATAAAGGTTATATTTTAAAGCATTTTACTTTTACAAACCCTTTTAGTTTTTTGGTAAAAAATACTCCATGAATTCTTTTACTGGATTCTCACAGATATCTTACTTAAGAGCTACGAGTTTAACTCCCTGCCAGTAGGTGGAGCAGTCAAGCAGCCAGCTCTCATTCCAACTTTTATTTATATTGTGTGACAGCTGTTTGCCAGGTTCGCTTATGCAAACATTGGTTGCTATTTCAGAAGAAAAAAGCCAAACCTTTGCGTGACTTCTGAGCTGTTTTACTTCCCTAAATCGACACAAAGACTCAGAATCTTTATGATTTTGACACTAGTTTGGCTTCTTTTTTTAACTGCCTTAATTTGAAAATGTAACGCAAAGAAGCATGGAGCTACTAGGATGCTACTAGGGGAGTGGCGGCCTAGTGGTTAGGGCATAGGGCTTTGAATCCTGAGATTTTGAGTTTGATCCCCCACTCCCACAGACTGCCACTCTGGGTCCCTGAGCAAGACCCTTAACCTCAGACTGCTCCCCGGGTGCCTGACAATGGTAGCCCACTGCTCCCCAAGGGGATGGTTAAATGCAGAGAAGTCATTTCCCTCTGGGATTATTAGAGTATATGAAATAAAAAATAAAAATGTGACAACTTACGGACTCATATTCATCTGACTTCAACACTGTATTTTAATTGGTGCACAGTGTTTCCTCCAGTAAACTGGTTAAGCCTGGGGTGGGTGTTACTAGGAAACCACTGTGTTTTAGCTTAAAAAAATGTGGAAAGTGGACAGGATTTTATAACACCCACTATAGACCAATAAAATTAATACTTTTAAAAATAACAAAACCTCAAGATAAATATAATTTTCACTAATGTTAAGTCCTGATTATCAGAACTGATAACCAGCCAGTAAATCTTAAAATCAGCATTGTGATGCTCACAACATTTACAATTAAAATAAAAAAGATCAAACAAACAATCAAAAAATTGATAACCTTAAGACCTAAAGACATTGAAACTGGCTAATTGTTTCCTTCAGTCTTCACATGCTTCATGGTGGTTATCAAAGGCTCAAAGGAGTTATTGTGAAACATTTCAGAGACATATTTCATTTTAGGTGGTGTAAATACTAACAATATTTATTGTTTACTTTAGCATCGAAAATATTTAGCATCTAAAGTAGAAATGTACATATTAGCGCTCTCTATATTGCAGACAACTAATACGTGCCTTTAGCATCTTTGTTACATGTTGTCCAATGAGCTCTAATGGACACTCTAAGGATCCTAAGGTTGTCCACTGGTGGTGATTTCTCTAAACCCAACTAACCGTACAAGAAAAAAGGTGCAACCTTTAAGCCCTTAAGCTCAGAGGGTTTTAGGAACAATTTCCACCTGAACTTTACATATCCGATTAAATCAAGAGTAGCTCCAAAAGTATCAAGTGAAAATATATACAAGATTCCTACAGTATAACACAAAGTCAATAAAGAATATTTTTGGTGATATTTAGTGATATTTTAACAGATGGGGACTTTATTTAGAAGCTTTAAGGCCTTTTAAGTTTATGAAAAAAAGCCCTCAGAGGCTCATACTGGTATTTGCTCGGGTTAAAGGTTAAACAAAGTTTATCTAATGTGGAATTTGATAGCAATTTTATACTTTAAAACCAAGATTCATATTTTCATATAGTACAAAACATGCTTACCATGCTTTTCCTCTAGTTCCATGTTCTAAATTTTGGGTCATCTCACCTTTTTCTGGTTAAATCCACCGGTTCTATGTTTAGTATTGGGTCAGCAAAAAGATACTGATGCTCTGATGACGTGCAACTATGCCAGCTGGTTCTGTTTCATCTAGCAACACCAGGTAAATCATTGAGCTCAATGCCTTGAATAAGTGGGAGAAGTTGGATGGAAGACACAAGTATAAACATGAAATAGTATTAATAATTTGCTTAAAAATTTTTTTTAATCTTTATTCTTATCTATCCCTTAGGTCTTTTGAACATGTTTCTTCCAGCTTTGCACAGTTATAGACAAACTCTTTGCCTCCTCTTGGCTATTGGTTTTATTTTTTGCCATTTTAAGACATAATTATGAACCTTTAGTTGTTGTTTTCTAGGCTTTAACTAGTTCTCCTCCAGGGTCTTCCTGTATCTCTAACTTCTCCATCACTTCTGTCCAGCTAGGCTTTACTTCCTGAAAAATTATTCACCCAGCATGATGCTGCCGGCACCATTTCTCTCCAGGCAGTGTTTGTTAAGGGGTGTGAAACGTTACACACAATATTCTGCATGCAGGTCACAGAGTTTTGCTTGGTCCCTTCTGACCAGATCGATTTAACCTCTTTCTTTGAACTCTGCTTTTTAGAAACTTGATTAATCGTTATTGCAGAGTCTCCTGCCTGAACTGTGAGTCTGCAGTTCCTCTAAAGCTTGCCTCGAGGCTGCCTCCCTGATTAACGCTCTTCTTGTCTGTCCGGTCAGTTAAGGTGGACTGACAGTTCTTGGTAGGTTTAAAGTTTAGGATGTTGGCTTCTGCTTTAAACATCTTGGAACCTTTTTTCCCGATCTATCTCATGTTTCCCTCAGTCCTATTGGTCCTAATTACTGATGTTCTCTAACAAACATCAAGATGCTTAAAAAGAAAATACCCGGATTTCCAGTAATGCCAACTTGGACTGAATTTCTCACATCAAAGTTGGCAGAAGAGAACATGTCACGTATTTGTCGTAAAAACAATAAATCCAAACATCATTTTTCTCCCACTGTGTGATCTTGTGCTACTTTGGGTTGATCTATCATAGAAAAAAGATCAAATATATAAAAGTTTTGGAAATATGAAAGAGGTATGGTTGTTCTTTAGTGGGGATTTTCCTTTTGCTACTGAAAACGCTGGTTCATCTATTGAACATAAAGACAGGTTGGATAAGTTATAAAACCCCATTTTCTCCAGATGTCATGAAATTTCTCTACAGTGTTTTAATTCCTCCTAATTTGACCAACTGTTCTCAAAGATTATAATAATGATTTTTGTTGCATTAACTTGGAATCAAATATGTTTTCCAGGAGGTGGAAGCAGCTCGAATGAGTATGCTGAGGAAAATCTACTACCTGACAGACGAGGTACAGCTGAACCCTCTGCACTCACTGCTTGTCTTGTTTTCATTGCCTCTTCCTGTCTCTGTCTCTCTCTGAGCTTTTAGGTGTTCATTGATTTGATTATTGACTCCAACTCTCTGGAAAGAGAGTCTGTTTCACTGTTTTTCAGCTTGTTGACCTCACTTCTTTTTTTTCTCTGCTCTTCTGTCTTTAAATTTCTCCTCTTACTTTTTATCTGTTTAAAACATTCATTTTGTTTGTTGATCTCAGCATTGGGTTAATTCTGCAGTGAGACTTTACTCATGTTGGAAAATTCAAGTGAATTGAAATATTGTCCAAACGTCTATTTCAGTAATTTAAGTGAAATAATCATTTCAAACAAAGTCTTAATTTCTATTTAGCCTGGTTATAATACATTGATGATTATTATAGAAAGTTATACAAGAGCAGTAGGATTTAATCAATAAAAGAGACTTGTTTTGGTTTGTTTTGATCATGTTATAATCTGCTGACACCCTACACAAAGAGAGGAACACAATAGGTCAATTTTGTTGTTGCGGTACAGTAATCAGTATTATTAATGGAAAGTTAAATTGAGGAAAAAAGTGGGTCTGAAAATATAAATATGGATAAATGACATAGTAACTTCAGCCACAAGAGTCCTGACCTTTTATCTTGACAAGATAAAAGGTCAGGACTCTAAAAAGGCTTAAGTCCCCTTTTATATGAAAATAATTTATTGTACTTTATTTGGAAATGTAGGTTCATTTGTGTATTAAAAATCCTTTCTTAATGGTCTTATCAGATATTTTAAGTTTCTAAGAAACAAAAAAATTCAGCTTTTATCAGCTTTAGTGCACAATCTTCAAAATTAACAGAACGAAACACTCAAATATGTCATTATGTTTCTTTTTGAACTGTGTTACCTCACAATAAGATTGTGTATTGAGATGCACCCGTGCATCAAAGGGTTTGAAAATGCAAATAACTGTAGTGCGACAACTTTCACTTCATTTGGCCAAAATTGGGCATTTGTCCCGATATTTTTCAAAGGCTCAACTATAATATTGATTTGTTTCTGTAACCCTTCAAAGTAGCCAACAAACCGCCAAAGTGCACTACAAGAAAAACATTTTAAACCGAGATAAAAAAAGGGAGGTAAAGATAAAAGCTATAAATCTGGTATGAAATGCCAAACTGGTGCAGTTTTAAAGCTTTTTGTGAATAAAAGCTCAGGTCAGTGAGAATTAAATGGATCCAGACTATGGGTGCTGAGACTGAGAACGCCCGCTCACCCTAATTTCTCAGACATTAAAGAGGAACAGGAATAACGACCCTAGGGGTTTTACAGGGATGCAGAAATTTCTGGGGCAAGACCATTAAGAGCTTTAATAAGGAGCAACGGGAGCTTAAAATCTATTTTAAGACAGACAGGCAGGCAGGTAGTGGAGAGGGAATAAAGTGGTGGGGATGTACTCCATCTAGACATGAAAAGCTTTACAGTGATGGATTCTGAAGCTTGAAAAGCAGTGCTCAGTTTTCTAAAGATCAGCACAGTTTAAAAAACTCAACTTTTGCTAAGCAAGGAAAGAGTTTAAAGCTTGATTAGACCACTGGATCAACTTGTTTGTTGAATTAAAAGTTGTCTGAAAAAAATCCCCAGACTTATTGCATTGTGACCTAATATAACATTTAGATCACTGACGTCAAGGGTGACATCCTTACCAAGCCAAATGCATTTTGTCTTTTGTTCATATAAAAAGCAGAGAGGATACTATCAGTATCATCACATTCCTGCCATAATCACATTTTAGAGACCGACCTAAAGAACCGATTTATCCCGGATGCCCTCTGAATTCAGTCTTTCATGAAATTAGACTCAAACCACATTTAGATGCAGCTTAAAGAGAGAATTATTAAATATGACCAGCAAGTCAGCCAACATAATGACCATCAACTTCAGGCATGTTGAAGTGTTTGTCCTTCACTGTACTTCTGGACGAAAAGCCTGTGGCTTGATTTGGATCTTATATGTTCCACATGTTGGTGTTCTTGGATAAAGCGCTGATTCTCAGTTTAACTGATGTGTTTGAGTGTTTGCATGAGAAGCAGAGTGTAGAAAACGTGTCCTTAAATGTCAGTGTTTGACTGAAGTGCTTTGAAAAAGTCCTTAATCTTCAGCGAGACTGAAAACATGCAACATAAGTGGAGATGGCTCAAAGGTGAGGGCTTTGGAGAGCTCTGTGCAGAAGGACACTAAGGGCAAACTTAGAGGAAAGTCACCTCTCAAAAGTGAAAGAGGTTGATGATATATATTCTAATCTAGGGATGAGCTAAATTCCAGTGAGGTCTGTTTGCCTGAACAGTTTTGATTGAGAACTTAAGTTTTATTTGAAATGTCAGACCTCATCCGGTCAGTTTTGATTCCTAGCAGACATTAGTAACACTGTTAGGATTTACCTCCTTCTATTTTGTTAACTGTGTCATTTGCTGAGATCCATTTGGTCATGTTTTTATTCCTTGTTTTATTGTATCTAAATATTCTATATATTTGTTTATACCTTCTTTCAACAGTTTAAATAGCTTATACTATCCTTTTTTGAATAAGCTTATTTAGATACAGTCTCATTTCTGATTAACAACTTAAGTCCCGTACAAACTGCTAATAAATACAGCAGGGGTAATCAATGTTTTTGACATAATTAAATATATTTTTCTAAAGAAGCTTTTAGTGTAAAATTTGCACCAGACATCTTTAACTGAGTTATGCATGCAAAAAGATCAAAATGCATCTCAGATAGATGTATTTTGACCTGAATCTAGTAGATTAATGCATTGATTAGGCTGGATCCTTCCACACAAACTATCTTCAGAAGATGAAGGTTCTGAAGAGTTCATACTATAGATTTTTATCTTCAGTTAATTCCAGTGCCATATGTGGAAGAACAGCTCAAGGTTAGATTTTACTGTTTTCCTATATGCTATTTAATTTTTAAGATTCTTTCAACTTTCTTAGGTATACCAAGTCCAAATGTACTTAAATATTCCTTAGTGATGCTCTAACAGCCCAGGCTAACCTTTGGAATAGCTAAAAAGCTATATTATTATTTTTTCCGTGTGCAAAAAGGTATCTTTCGCTGAATTTAGATCTTTCTTCATCTGCAACATAAAAGTCTGTGTCTGCTGCAGATCTTTAGTGATGGCCTTTCAGAGTTTTTCTTCATCAGTGGAGTCCTGCACAATGATCATTCATAGATACTATACAAATATTTTATATGATAATTAGAAATACATTAAAAAAAAAGGCTAAAAGTGATTCGCACTTATTTCCATTGTTTACGATTAAGCGGTTTGTAGTGTTGGTTCACAGTCACCTAAAACTAAGAGTTGGAATTGCTTTGGGGAAAGTTCTCTATGTAATCTTCACCATGCTAATTTCAGAGGCTCTATCTGATGCACAGTTCTTCTCCCCCTCCTCCTCATGCAGAGAAAAACTGGTTAAGACAAACTCCTGCTGCTTTTTTCTCCACATCCTTCACACTCTCTGTTTTTCATTTCCAGGTGTTGAGGAACCACTTGCTTCTTTTCCGTTTGCCCCGACAGCACCTACAGCTTGGCTTTGACATGTATGAACAGCTGCCCACCATCAGGGCCAAGCGTTTAGAGACGGTTCGCGGTCTGCAAGATGACAAAGGAGACTGAGTGGACTAAAGCTATTTAAAAAGGGGAATTTTAAGACAAATTCAAATGAGATGCAAGATGAGACTGAAATGGAAGGGGAAAATGGTAAAATATGGGGGGAGGAGGGAAAGTTGGCAGTGGAAGATGTGATGTACCTTCGCTCAGGGAATGGTACAGTCACATTTTTCTGTCGGTTTCAAGCAGCCAAACAGAGAAAAAAGAAATCTGAGCTGGGCTCAGCCAGCTGTACAAATAATTCAGAGGACTTAAAGTAAAAAAAACTATTTCAGTGACAGCCAAAGGTTAAATAAAAGTGCAGAGAAATAAAATACAGATGGGACAAAGCTGAAGTCCCGCAGTCCTCGTCTTCATGTGACTTCAGCTTTTTGCCAAAGTTTTTTCTTGGCTTGAAAACAGCTGAGGAAATTTCTTGGTATCTGAGAGCAAGTGACTGATAACCTTCTGTACAAGTGTCTGAAATGCTTGTATTACTTGTTAATAAATGGATACTCTCTGATGATGATGTGTGCTGTTATGTTTTATCCCATTGTTAAAACCAAATACATTGAATTAATTCCAGATTAAAAACAAGCAGAGGAAAATAAACCGCTGTACCCTGGAGCAGGAGTTTAAATGTGGAGAACAGTTTATTCTGTCTGATTATGACTCGCTCACCAAAGTCATTAAAACTTCCAGTTTGAAACTGCAGCCCGGATGTGGAAAATGCCCATTAGGCTCCATGTTTCTCTATGTTTGTGTCTTTGATAAAATATGCTGAACTCGATTAGGTCACACTTGCATCTTAACACAAAGTAACAAAGCAAACATGCAGATTATTCTTAATATAAGGTAAAGCCCCACACATGAAACCATCTGATTGAACATGGACCAAAGCTTACTTTTTTCTTTTTTTTTACCTTTATCTACTGAATACAGTCAGTCTCATTGATATCCAAGATCTCACGTTGATTGAAATCGAAAAATAAAAACACTTTCTCAAAGCAGGGACAACTGAAAATAATCAAAACATTTATCTCAATAAAATAAACTTTAAAAGGTGACATTTAAAACAGGAACGAGTTACATGTGAGAATTTCTGACTTAAAATACATTTAAATTTTCCCAGAGGGATAATTCCAGATCCAACTTTAGAGTATTTAATGTTAGTGGGGCAGAATATGGAAATATTTTTTACAAATAGCTTACTGATGGAAAGGAAGTCCAGAGAGCGAAGTCTGAAGCTGAATTGTCTGATATGAGGTTAGGTAAGGTGATAATCTAGGAACAGCTTTATAAATGAAAAAATACCAATGCACCAGTCTGAGGATTTACTGAGAATATAAATACAGCGGCGAGTAAGAGATCCATATCCTGTTATACTCTGACCTGAACCTTCAGACGCACATAAAGGCAGTTGCTAGGTCAGCATTTTATCACCTGAAGTAAATTTCTAGGATTAGAGGCCTAATGTCCAAGCAGAATCTAGAAAAACTTATTAATGCAATTATCTTTAGTAGAATTGATTACTGCAACAGTGTCTCCATAGGTTTGCCTTAAAAGTCCACCAGAAAGCTGCTGTTGATCCAAAACACTGCTGCCCGTGTTCTCACTAGAACTAAGAAATTAGAGCACATCAGCCTGGTTCTGGTCCTTCCACTGGTTCCCTGTAGCTCAGAGAATAGACTTTAAAATCCTTCTGTTAGTCTATAAATCACTGAATGGATCAGCTCCTCAATATATAAGAGATTTGTTGTCAGTGTATCAACCTCCCAGACCACTTGGGTCTCCTAGTTCCAGGCTACTCTGTCCACCCAGAACTAGAACCAAACATGGAGAAGCAGCATTTAGTTCCTATGCTCTACTGATCTGGAACAAACTTCCAGAAGACTGGGAAAGGTCTGAAAGCCTGTGTTCTTTAAGTCAAAGTTAAAAACCCATTTATTTAGAACTGCCTTTGACTATTGACGTTTAACTGTTAACTGAAGTATTATTCATTTAAGGTTGTGGTCCAAAAGTTTGGTTTGTTTTATTATCTGGTTTTATCACGTTTTTTTTTTTAATCTTCATTTGCTTTTGTTCTGCTTTTATTTTTCTTATATTTTACTGTTTAATTAATGTAAAGCAGTTTGAATTGTCCTTGTTTTGCAATTAAACTCACCTGTCTTTGCCTTACGAACCTTACTGCTCCATGACACACAGCATCCAACATATGCAGAGAACATACATGTCATGATTGTAGTGATTTTATTTATATTCTATATATACAGGAAAATAAGAGGTTGCAATAATTATTTTATTTTGATAACTGTAAAATGTTTTCTACTTTATAAGTCGCTTTGGATAAAAGCATCTGCTAAATGCATACACATTTACTTTACTTCATTGCGTTTGAATTCTATATATTCCATAAAAATTCAAAAAATATCCACTGGACTTGGTTTTCAAGATTTGAAGACGTTTCGCCACCTCTCCAGGAAGCTTTCTCAATTCAAATGTCTTCAAATCTTGAAAACCAAGTGCAGTGGATATTTTTTGAATTTTTACGGAATGACTATGACCTGGATGACTGAGAACCTTCATCAGCAAATTCTATATATTGTATAATTATGTATAGCATTTATTTCAGATTTCTTATCCTGCAGACTATTTCACAATGTTCTTGTTACGACAAAAAATTCATCACAGTTTAGGACTATAAAAGAGAAACAAAAATCCTTCAATAATTACTTATGCATTAAAACGTTTTGCCGCATATGTTTGCATTAAAAAGTTTTTTTTGATGGACTAAAATCCTTGAACAGTAATCACTAAAAAGCAAATATGTATCTATCTATATTTACTTTTGTTTAAATCGTCACAAGCATTAATTAACAAATTATTTAAATTGAAATATGTATGTTTGGGTAATGAGGCTTAAATTTAAAAACATGTTGAGACAAAAAAATATGAAGGGATAAATGATAGCAATTTATGCCGCAACTTATAAATGTAAAGTTATGCTAAGTGTTTTGTTGTTTTTTGCAGAAATATGTGAAAACCCTCACGTAAGCCTAACTGCTTGTTTGTGCAGTTTTATTTGGTGTTGGTATGTGAATAATAAAAAATTAAATACAGAAAATTAAAAGCTTTGTAAACATGCTAATAAATTCTACCAAACCAGCCTTATAAAACTATACTTTAAAAAAGTGACTCATTTAAGTGGTCTTTAGACAACAGGTTGGTTTATACTTATTTTTAAATATTTGGCTTATAAATGCATTTAATGTTCTAAAATATCCTCATATATATATATATATTTTTTGTTTGTTTCTAATAAGCAGGATAATGACAGAGGCACCTCCTGTGGTTACTAATGCTGATCACAAGCTTTCCGCAGCACATCTGGTCTTAATTTGGCCTCATAAATTGGGAGAAACATGTAAAACTGGTCCACTGACAATAAGTGAGGAATCTGCTTGAGGCCTGTTTTAACTTAATCCCCAGAGTGGCCTAATGTAATTCAATGAAAGATGTCTACTTTGAAACTACAAACCCTTAACTTCTTACATAGTTACACTGGTTGATGTGCAAAATTGTGTTTAAGCCAAATACTGTCAAGCCAAACTGCTCTAGATGTTGCTTCTACATTGTTAAAGGGGTTGCACTCAACCTGCAGTCAGACACCTTTGTGTTTCTCCCCCTGATTACACCGAATTAAAACGTCCAATAAAGGGATGACCGTCAAAAGAAATTAGACTTTAAAACGTCAGTCTAAATAAGGCAGAGAGGAATAGTTACAAAAAACTTCACTGATGCTCTTGCCAGAACACATCATGCTCGCAGAATGACAAAGAGAACCAAATCCTAATTACATTAGGTTTCATAAACATAAGGAGCAGCCCTGCCATGTGCACAGCCTCATGTCTTCAGTAGAAAATGTTTCCCCGCTTTGATAATAACTGATTGTGTTACTCCAATGTGTCCAAGATTATCTGAATAAGCATGTGCCCCCGATAGCTGACTGGTCCCTTAATCAGTCCTGACCTATTGAAATCATCTCTGATAGACGTACTGTCTGTATGAACGATCTAGTATTTCTCCACTAAGTCATTTCTGAAGCTCAAACAACTTCAAGCTACAACTAATACCTAACAGCAAATTTAAAACCTGAAAATCAACAATAGGTTAAATTCTGGGAAAAAACTAATGGAGTCCAATTCATGGACATAAATATTTTCACTTTTTTTTTTAAGTGTCAAAAGATTTAGTGTATGTTATTGTTCTGCACATTCAAAATATATTGTCAGGTTTTTCCTTCTGGTAATTATGCAGTAATGTGGATACATTTAAGTACTGTATTTGCTTTTTTCCACCCAGACCTCCAGGGTTTCCAACTCCATTCATCAAAGGCATCAAAGGCCACTTCCTTTAGATGTGTATTTTCTTTTAGCTTATTTGAATCTGATAACTGAGTCAGCAGTTGAACTCTGCAGAACTTGTCAAATCCTGAGAATGTAATTTAGACATTTAATTCAGATTAATCGGAACAGCTTACACTCTTCAAAGTTGGAGGAAACTGATTCCTGAGGACAGGAGTTTTCATGCCGGGGATCATGTTGCAGGGAAACCTAAACTTCCCTCTTTCCAGCCATGCTCTTTCTCCTTCTCTGGATCCACTGGTGTTACCAGGCAATAAATGGTTATTTCTAACTGCTTGCCATTAGTAGCAACTCAGAGCTTCAAATTACGGTTCTTCCTTTAGTAACCATTTTATTGCACAGTTTTTTGTTTTTTTGTGTGCAAATTTCAAGTTGCACTGAAAATCCAATACCAGACGATTCTGAGTCACTGATGAGGTAGGAGGTCAGAAGTCACAGTGAATTTCAGTAATATTTTCAATGGTTAAATTGTTTTAAGCCTATTGTGTATAGAGACACTGGCTGTGTCCAAACGTCCTTCCTAACCCCTCAATCAAGCAGCGACTTTATAATTTACTCAGTTAACTGACTATTTGTACAGATGATCACAAATTTTCGCTCTCCTTTGGTCAAGGTGCATTGTGGGAACTGTTGAGTTCACTACTTTTTCATTCACTAGACTTTGGGACAGTCATAAAATGGGATTCAGACACAGTCACTGTTAAAGAAAACAACCTAAGGTAGTATTAGCATTAGAAAGTGTTAACATTACTTTAACTTCACATTTCCTGCAGCCCTAGAACAAGGCTTTTATAAACCTGGAAAGCCAGTTAGAAGCCCTTCGACCAGATGAAAACATCTTAGATTACCCGTTCAAAGGGCAGCAGCTTGTCTTTAATGACAGAGCTGTTATCTCTTAAACAGAGCATGGCCTCCCTAAACTAGACATGAATATTAACTCTTTTAAACTAGGATTTTGTTCTTTCATCAATAATCCAGACAGGCAGGAGCAATACCCACATCACTGCAGTCGAGCCACAATCTATCTACTTTATGCATCATTCCACCATTGCAAAGAAACTGGAGATACGATGCATGATTTAAATTCTAAAGATCGTAACTTGAA